AAAGAAGGAGCTGAATCCTATTCAGGGAGCAACAAACCTTGAAAGTGAAGAAGTTTAGTTTACCCTTTAGTAAAAGAAGGAGCTGAATCATATTCAGGGAGCAACAAACCTTGAAAATGAAGAAGTTCAGTTTACCCTTTAGTAAAAGAAGGAGTTGAATCATATTCAGGGAGCAACAAACCTTGAAAATGAAGAAGTTCAGTTTATCCTTTAGTAAAAGAAGAAGCTGAATCATATTCAGGAGAGCACAGATCTTGAAGTATGAAGAAGTTCGTTTACCCTTTAGTAAAAGAAGAAACTGAATCATGTCCAGGGAGCACAGACTTGAGACGTGAAGAAGTTTTATCCACAGATAAGCAGCAGTCTCTTTATTTGAGAGCTTATCCAGTTTGGCATATAAGTCCCTTCCAACGATAAGTGGCAGTTCTCTCGAGAAAGCTTATCAGGGCGTTTCCCATTTAAGACCATTTATTTTGGCATACAGCCGGTTTTACCATGTATATTTTCTACGGATTCCTAAATTCCGTTTGATCCTGTCACTAGGGAAAGTTTACAGAAGCTCGGATGTTATTCTTTGCTCAATGCTCCAACATCTTGTTAATCGATCCTACAGTCGTGCAGACCCATTTTTATCATTTACTTTTACATATTCCCCAGTGGAGGCCGTCTCGCCGGTGCCATCTCCATTGAGGATCCCATTCTACTATTCCTTTTTCCTAAAGTGATAATTAGTCGTACTCGCACCAGTTGACTATCACTTTAGAATTCCCCAGTGTCGTGCTGTCACCCAGTGCGTCGTATTCCCAGTGTGGTTCGTTCGTCGCGTTTGTCCCCTATGTCGTCGTGTCGTCTGCATCTCTGCATTTACCATTCCATCATATGCATCATACTAAATTCATGGCATTGTCAACATTATAGTTTATTTTCGTTTTTTTTTCATAGTATTGCATATCACTGCATCTAAGGGCAAAATTTTCGGTTATCTATATTTAAATCCCTCCCCCATGATTTCTCGATCCTTTGTCGCTCAAATCATCCGGTGAAGTTATTTAAATAGGGGCAACTGTAATACCCCAAATTTTGCCCTAAGATTAGTTGATTCATGTCGCATAGCATTTCATTTTTTGCATACCGCTAACTATCAACAGGTTACGTAGTCCATTTATTTTGCAGGGGTTGCATCAGGCGCGCTTTAGCTGTGAAAAGGGCAAAAGGGTAGTTTGTGCATTATTTACTGACGATTTTTGAAGATGAGCTGTCGCCAGGGCTCTTTGGAATAATTAAAACCTCCACCTTCGAGTTCTTTATTTTTAAACAGAAATTTACCGTGAATTTTGGCATCAGAGTTTTCAAGATACGGTAATTTATTCAGGAAACGAGTTTCGGTTGTCAGTAGCTTTTAGGGCTGTTGCGTTATCATGTGGGTTTGATTGTGTTGAAATTATGTTGAGACGTCAACTCTGGTTCACTTAACTCGGTACAAGCATTTATTCCATGAGTTATTTCACAAGCGCACGTTTTTCTGCTTCCTCTGCTTTCTGCTAGTAAAAAGCTTCAAAAGAAAAAGAAACGGAAAAAGTCTGATTCAAAATTCGGGTTTTTGATTTATGTTGGATCGAGGTTTATGGGCCGAGTTGGTTTATGGTTCGATATCTTATCAGAGGCGCTATTTGAATTTTTAACAGTGGAGTTTAGTTTTCTGTTTTCACCGCTAATCGGATTTCTCCGCTTCGGTTCTATTTTACTCCGTTCATGACTATCGTCGATTATACCATCAGACGCAATTTAAATTGATTTGAGAATGGAAGATTATATCACATTTTAAGTGGAGCGACACAAGTTGGAACGACGAGGTTAATGTGATTGATTTTTTTTCTCGGAAGTTATTCATACAAGTTTGTTTGGTGAAGTTAGTCCGGTGGTTCAAATTTAATTGATTAATATGCGGTTGGTTGAATTTGTTCGGAGGCATTTAACTGGTGAAATTTAATCGAACATTTTTAATTAGGAGAGTTGTTCGGCGTGATTAAGTTGGGGAAAGAGAAATAAGACAAAGTATTTTGAATAGAAAAATAATGTGAATATTTTATTCATAGTTATTTCTTTAGTTACAATTTACAAAAAGGAATTTATATTACATTTATATTTATTCTAAAAATTCCTAATATCCTAAAAAAGCCATTCCGAATATTGCTTTTCGCACTCGATTTTCTGATCGTCCAATTTCCTCCGTACCTGCACACAGAAAAATCAAGAACAGAGCAAAGGAAAATGTTAGAATTTATTTTGACACCCTCAGAAAAATTTCATCACCGGGTGTCGGGAGGGCACGACTATTGCCGCAACCGAACTCCCATTTTCGACCTCGACATCAGCACTAGACCGATAATATTTGTTCTTAGTTTTGGGACAGCCGAGAAGAAGAGAAAAAGAAGTTTATACCGAAAAATGATTTTTGCCGAAAAAGTGATTATCCCACCAAACAGATCACTAATAGCATCTGAATCCATTTTATCAAGTAAATATTATGGAATCAAAAGTCCGTTTCCATCCAAAATCTGAATGCGAAGCAGATAGAAATCTAACATCCGAATCATGTCTGCAAAAGTCATATCCAAAATAGTTCAGAATCAAGTTAGAAGAAAATCCAAATCCAGACAAGTTCAAACCAGAAAACCAGTTAACCAGACAAGCAAACTGAAACAAACCAGTTCAGGAAATCCAGTGAACTGTTTAGCCAACACATCCAGAATCATAACGTAAAGTCCAATATCCAAAAACCCAGCCACATAACAAGGTCGTTTAGTCAAACAACCATCCGAAAGTTATGCAGAAACCGAAACAAGATCTCCGTAACACTCTTTTCGGAAAAGCCCAAGCAAACCAATTTTAAATCAACCGCAACACAGTATCACAGGTTCAAAGCAAAATAACAGCCACCATATTCAAATAAAAAAAAACTGGGTCAAATACTAACAAAGTTAAGCGGATTTTCGGCAACAATCCAGAACCACAAATCTCGAAAAAAACCATATAAGTATGATAAGAGAAAGTTCATAAAAGGGAGGAGGAACCCTAACCAAAGATATAAAACGGCGGCACAAAGTTGAAGGAGGCTCAGAAGGACTCTCCAAGTTCCTCATCATCACCGTCGCAAAAGAGACGATGCACTCATAAAACCATCGAACAAGCATCAGCGGAAAGCTCACGAGCTCCTCAAACCAAAGCTACGATTGGCCTCAGAAAAGCTTCCTCATCGGCGAAACAGGACGGAACTACCACCGTATCATTCAAGGCGCTTCAAACCGAGGAGGTGAGCATCTTGTTTGATTAATTGCTTTTTGTTTGCATTGCATTTTCAGGGTCAGGTTGGAGCCGCCATGGATGGATAAAACGAAGAGGAATCACAAGAGGCAACATGCGTAGAAAGAGGAAGGACGAACGGAAGCTCCGCCGAACTTCAATGGAGCCGCCGTTTTGGAGAAGGAAAAGGAGAAACAAACCCTATAAGCATTGCAATGACTCAGCTTCACGTTATTTGTTTCTTATTTACTTACCTTTCTTATTTATTTGTTCTTATTTTGTTTAGTTTATTATTCCTTTAAGTTTTATTTTATTTGTTTGCTGGTTAATTAGTGTTGCTTATATTACATTTAGAATCAAGGCTAATTTTTAATTAATGACTTAAGACATTTTTTTTTCATAAGTGAAAGTTGGACTAACGTTATTATTAACTCACTGTCTCAAGAAAATGAAAACGAAAAAACTGCTTTTAATATTTAAAAATAAGGCACTTTTATAAAAAACTCAAAACAGTTTTATAATTTAAAATTAAAACCATTTTAAGTTAAAATCTATTTCCATCAATTAAACATTTCTTAAATTTCTTTTTAGTAAAAACATTTCTTTTTAGTAATTACTAACAATTATATTTTTTAAGAATCAAATTAACTTTTCTTTTCAAAATTTAAAAATAGTTGTCTCTTTTATTAATAAAAGTTTAAAAATTAAAAAAATTAGTCTTTCTTTAAATAAATTCAAAAACATAAAGTTTCTTGAGTTGACCGTTTCATGTTGGTCTAATCCTCGATAGTTGGTCCATTGCAGTTTATTAATGTTTCATAGATTCGTACTGTTTTGGTTCCATGGGTTTAATTTACGCGAGGCCATGGTCGCGATTTATTTGTTTTATTTTTCTCGCTTTGCAGTATTTTTTTGGCCCTTTGGGGGTTTGTAATTTACGCGAACAGCCGCGATGCTTTCTCTACTGTTTCTTTACTTTCTGCACTTTAATTTCTGCTATACAATATTTTCTCTGTTTGCATGTTTATTGTTAATCACCCTCCGAAGGAATTAGGATTAACAGTTTGACCGCCGAGTCAATAACCCTAGTTTCAACACCCTAATTAGCCTAGGCGTCCCGCCGTGGACAAAAATACCCTTTACCCTAGCTTTAGGTCAAGGAGTCGCCGTACTCTGTTTTAGGGTTTCCCGTCGTGGAATCCCTAATTTAACCCTAAGGTCAATTAACAAATTCAACGTAGAAACAGGAGTTTAAGACTCCACGTAAGCGTGTCCTTAAGATACGTTTACTTCCCCTGGAAACCTTGACCACAGTCAAGAAGTTTCTAACCTCCCTTTCGAGGGGAACTACGATTACTCTGATTCCATTCCCTATCCAGGATACGTAGGCACAAGATGCGACGTCTTGCCGAGTAAACTTAGGACTAACCCTTAGGTCTTTAGGTCACTCTATCCCTTAGCTCAATATATATTAAAGCAGATAATGAATAAAAATAAAAAAGCATACAATAAACAAAAGGTTCCTGTAGAGTACTACAGAAGTTTAGGGTGCTAGTACCTTCCCTAGACTTAACCAACCCCTTACCTAGGTCTCTCCCCGCGTTGTGTTTACAATGCAAAAATAGGTTTTCCCTTTTTGACCTTTTCCTTCGGATAAATCAAAAAGCGGTTGTGAATTGAATTGTGATTCAAACTAATTAATAGTTTGTTATCCTATTTCCACCGCAACAACGACCATCGTTGTAATTAATCTTTTCCTGCACCATTAAACAAAATCTTTCGCGATCGAATTGCATGACGTTGTGTGTGTTAGCCTTGGCTACCTCATCATCCATTCCCTTGTTACAACCATCTGTGAAAACTTTGCCTGAAGATAGCATTTTGGTCCATTTGTGTCCTCGTTTACCAAAGAGTGAACCCATTCGATAGTATGTAGACTGGACCAATACAGTGATTGGAAGGTTTCTGGTTGCCTTTAGTACAGAGTTTATGGCCTCTGCCAAGTTAGATGTCATATGTCCCCAACGTTGCCCTCCGTCAAATGCTCTAGCCCACTTCTCCCTAGGAATTTTGTCTATCCAATTTGAAGCCTCAATGTTTGTTCTTCTGATTTCTCCGTGATAGTAATTAAATCTAGCCTCCGTCAATGCGTAACCTGTAACAGAAATTGTGTGAAAAAAATGATAAAGTGTGGTACAAAACTTGAGATAAGTGAAATGTATTTGGTTACCCATGTTAACAAGTTTTCTGCGTAGATCTCTGTCCTTAATCTCGCGCATGAAGTTCTGAGCAATGTGTCTTATGCAGTAGACATGTGAAGATGTTGGATGTTGCCATCCATTTTCGGGATTGTTGTATGCACTCTTTATCAATTCATGTCTATCAGATATTAGACACAAATTAGGCTGTGGTGTCACGTGTAATCTCAGGTTCCTCAGAAAAAAGCTCCATGCTTCCTTTGTTTCACCTTCGACCAATGCAAATACTATTGGGAAAATATTTGCGTTACCATCCTGTGCCACCGCCATCAATAGAGTTCCTCTGTACTTTCCATACAACCAAGTTCCGTCTACTTGCACAATAGGCTTACAGTAGGCGAAGCCACGTATACACGAACGAAATGCCCAAAACAGACGATGAAATATTCGTTTTCCAGAGATTTGGGAACCATCACTTGATATCGCAGGTAGGGTTTGCAAATCTATAATGGTTCTTGGAAGGAAGGTTTTCAGTACCAGTATCCACTGCGGTAGGTCGTTGTAAGATGTTTCCCAATTGCCATAAAGTGACTCTACCGCCTTGCACTTAGCGATCCATGCTTTCCTGTAAGATATAATGTACCCGTATTTTTCAAGAATATGGGCAATGATCACCCTTACCTTAAGTGAGGCGTCGTTGTTGACAAGTTCTCTAATACTATGGCTAACCATTTCTGAACTAAGCTTCCTATGGTCTTATGCCATAGACGTCGTAGTGCATGTGTGAGAGCCAGACAACTTACCGATCACCCATTTCGAGTTCCTTTTTCTCAAGGAAGATCTGCACTTGAAACTGCAGTCTTGTTTCTTACACTTAATGACATATCGTTCATTGTCAGACTGATAGACCCAATAGTCCACACTGTATGTAATGTGCCAATGTTGTAGAGCGAGGACGCAAGCTTCGTTGTTTTCGAACTCCATCCCAATCTCTATTTCTTCACCTATATGGTTTTGAATAACACTTCCAAACACGGAGGTTGTATCGTCATGTTCGAAACATATATTTTGCATGTGCGCAGGCGGGTTGTACAAACTTATGGGTTGCGCACGGATCGGCTGCATAGATGTAACAACTATATCTTCATTGTCTTCGTCATCGCTGTCACCAAAAATATCTTGCATCCTGACCTCCTGACTATCGTCATCGCTTGCCTCTCCAACCTCCTCATTTGGTATGAAAGGTAAGTTGTTTTGTGTTGGTTCGTCGTCGAATGTTTGGCTCATCCCGTACCAGTGTGACTATGTCTCTTGCGTCGGAAATGTTTCGGGATTGTCTAGTGGTCGGACATACAACTCAATTATAGGTAACTGACCAAACACCATGTGGCACCGAAACATTGCCTTCACATCTTCGTCGTTCCGGATTGGCGTCATTATGTAAAAAATGGTACAATCGTCTTCATTAAGTATTGGATGGCGATAAATTATTTCCTCAACGCTTTGTGCCAATTTTTTTTCCATTCTATCTTTAAAATGGAAAAAATCAGAACTAACATGAATTTTGAAGGCGTATGTATCTGTGTTGCTGAACGAGAATCCAACAGGGCTATTTGCTGAAACAACACCGTTAAAGTGGCATGTGACAATTATGTTTCTCTGGGACATTTTGGAGTGTAAAGTAGAAATTCTTGGTAGTGAATATTGATGTGTACAATATAAGGTTTTGGTAGTCAATATAAATTGTAGACTATTGATGTGTATAAATAAAATGATACATATATTTTGGGAACCAACAACTATATAAGACAACAATGAGAAGAGTTGGGAATATTGTGACTTGTAGCTCGTCCATTCCAAGGACGAGCTTGTGACTTAAAGTGTGTGTGTGCGTCCATTTAAAGGACGAGCTCGTGCCATATAGTATGTGTGTGTGTGTCCAATGAAAGGACGAGCTTGTGGTCTCCTTTAGGAGCTCGTCCAATGAAAGGACGAGCTTGTGGTCTCCTATACAGAATTTGTATGGCATGCAACGGACATGGCATAGGAACCCTAATCAACCTATTAGTTTGCATGCATGCAAGCTACTATAGTGACATGCAAGGGTCTTGTCATACTATTAAATTTAAATATATTACCTCTAACTTTGAATTGAATTCACACTACTATAAATTCACATTTTTACACAAGATTTTTGCACACATTATTTTCTTCCAAGATTTTCACACACGATTTTCACACAAAATTTATTACCTCTTGCAATCGTTACACTGAATTAACATGGCATTGTTGTGGATGGACAATGAACATCGTGGAGCACAAGAAAATATCCAAGCTAGTGTACGTTTTTTCTCTATTAGAATGCATTCAAAATTAATGTCTATTGTTGTGTAGTTAAATATTATTTCGTAGCAAAAATCGTGATTACGTTTTGTTGGATTAATATTGTTGCAGACTAATTCCCCAAGGTTTAGAGTGCATTCACATGCTTCTATTCAAGCGAGTAAGAGAATAACGGCTTATCTTGAAATGGCAGGTTTTGCACATATCTCAAAAATAAGTAGTTTAAAAGTCGACTCAAGTTTAGTTGTGGCTCTGTTGGAGAAGTGGAGACCCGAAACACACACTTTTCAACGGTGCGTATATGTTACTTGGTCTACGAGTTGATGGAAAATCTATCAACGGTCCCACCGAGGTAACAAACGCTGTTTATATGGAAAACTTGGGGGTGGAACCTACATAAGAGGATAAAATTAAATGTTCTGTTAGGATCACTTGGTTAGAGAGTTTATATGAAACTTTAAAAAATAAACCTGTCCCCACACAAAAAGAAGTTCTGTTAGAAGCCAAAATTTATATTTTACTTGTAATCGCTACTATTTTGTTTCCTGACAAAAGTCAGAACCTATTGCATTCTTTTTTAATCCCTTTCGTAGGGGATCTTGTCGCATGCGGTACCTATAGTTGGGGTTCTGCATGCCTTGCAAAACTATACAGAGAAATGTGCAAGGCAGCAGTCAAAGATGTTAGGAGCATGAGTGGTTGTGTTCTCCTACTAACTTCGTGGGCATTCACACGTATACCATTGTTCGCTCCTGTCAGCACAGTGGAACCCTCGTTTCCATATGCACAAAGGTATTTTTGTATTAAAACACCCCTTTATGTGTACATAATATATATATATATATATATATATATATATATATATATATATATATATATATATATATATATATATATTTGTTATTCAACTATGCCTAACAATATATATTTTTTGGTTATGCAAGATGGGCGCAAAGAGGAATGAATTATCGTGTAAATCCTCGTTTTCATCTTCAAGGATATCGAAACGCATTGGACCATATGCGTGAACAAGATGTAAGTTTGAAACCATGTGAAAATAGTTGTCGGTTCTACTCTTTAATTGTATCTTAATTTTCTTTTTTATGGGCAGTTTATATGGAGGCCGTACATTCAATATCCGGTGCCCAGTCTTGGAGATCGCCAAATCTGGAGTGCAACAACTTACCTTATTTGTTTCTATATCGTTGAGATGCATCAAACAGATAGGGTAACACTCCAGTTTGGATTAGACCAACAAATCCCTCCCCCGCCAAGGTGTCTAAGGGAACACCACGCAATGACCATGAGAAAAGCCCAAAAAGTTCATTGGCGAGAGTTAAACAAGGAGGAGGTGAGAGAATGGAGACACAGAAGAAATGTGATTTTGCAGGGGGACGCTGCATTACGTGAACGCAAGCCAAGCCAAGAGTATTTAGCTTGGTTTCGTATCATTTCTTATGTGCATGTTGCTCCAGAATAATTTTTGACCGACCCACGCACGCAAGCATCATCATCAACACAACCGATTGCCGCATCAATGCATCAGGATGTGCCACCAACCTACAAATCTCAATTTGGGGGCACACATCCTCGTCAGCTCAACATACATACCAACAACAAACACCCAACAATCCATTCCCTTAATAAAACTATAACTACCACTACAACCAACAATATCAGCCCCAACCCTACCTCCGACCACCCATGCAGTTCACCCCAGTCCCACCGCCCAACTTTGACCAGACTGGCCCACGTTTCCAATATAAACCTTCAACACTACCTTCTCTCAACCCACCTCGACCTTCAACACTACCTTAACTCAACCCACCTCGACCTTCACGCCTGATGACGTCTACTATCCAACCCTTCAACAAACCCAACCCGAAACCTACCCGCAACCACCGTAACCACCACACTCATTCCAAATTTTTTTGCTGACAGACGAGCATTTGATGCATATGCCGGATTTTAACATTGATGATCTTCTCGATGAGCAACCAGGACCCTCTTCACGGCAGGCAAACCCCCCTACAACGCATCACAACGAAGACATGTCTTCCGACTCATCTCAATCACCTAGAAATGAGCGTTTGGGCAGGGGATATAGAGAGCGAAGGACCACTAGGTGTGGAACCACAGGTCATCTTTGATGAAATGTATTTTTGTTTAATCAATTTTATTGTTGTAATTTAATCTTGTAAAGTTAAAATTATTTACATTTCTTATAATCTACTTTTATAATGTAATTATTATTAATTAGTATTTTATAATTAAAATTTTTAAAAATGGTATTATAAAAATTGTAATTAAAAATTATTCACATCAAAAATTGTAATTAAAAATTATTAACATTAACTATTTAAATTATAACTATAAAATTGTAATTATAAAATTAATTAGTATTTATAATTAAAATTTTTAAAAATGGTATTATAAAAATTGTAATTAAAAATTATTCACATCAAAAATTGTAATTAAAAATTATTAACATTAACTATTTAAAATTATAATTATAAAATTGTAATTTATAATTAAAATTAGATTATAAAATTAATTAATATTTATAATATAACGATTTAAAATTAAAAAAATATTAACATTACAATCTTTAAATAATTAAAATAAAATAAAATAAAAAAGGCCTCTGCACATGCTCGTCCATTCATCAGACGAGCCAACAAAGTCTAAAATGCTCAAGAGAAGCTCACCTATTCATTGGACGAGCCTGCACGCCCTCAATTACTTTCTGCACTAGCTCGCCCATATATTGGACGAACTTGTTTAAAATTGGAGCACACTCGTAAATATTTTTGAAAATGGAGGCATTATGGGATTTATTTTTTCAATTTAGGGCAGAATACTCAAACAACATCACATTTTAAAATAAAAAAACTAACAGCTATCACCTAAGACTTTCAGGGTTACCACTATTTCAATGGGACACTGATGTACCTGCGTAAATCAAATCTAAACACAACCCTGCAGTCCTTAATTCTTGAAGTTAAAAAACGTTTAATGAATACAAATTTTCTAAAAGAAGCCATAAAAAAAATAACAGTAACGCGACAAAAATATCATAGGAATCCAAACTTTCAAAATGAAAATCACCATGTACAACCAAACGGAGTCTTGAAAACACATCATACACGCTGCAACATGAAATTGTTTGTTGAATGGTCAGATAAGTGGTGTCGCCGAGTTCGCGTTGTTGCTGATGTTGGCGCTCGCTGATAAGAAGGCTTCTAGCAATATATTTTCTAAGATCTAGGGTTACTAATTTGAGAGTGAATGGAGAAGATAAAAATATAAAATAACAACTTTTTCATTTCATATCCCTTGGTTGTAGCCAAAGTGGTCTTTTAAATACAAAGGGGACTGAATTGTTCTAATGACTCTAATGGGCCTAGCCCATGAATAGAGACAACATTTTAAATTAAACAAGTAACTAACATTATTAATTATAGAAATCTTTCATCCACTTGGGCTGGTTCCTGTTTCTAATGGGCCTCCTATCACTACATTCTGGCCCACTTTCAACTTTGTCCTCAAGGTTGGTATTGAGAGGCTTAGTGAATGGAGAGTTGGCAAGTGATCTCTTGTTACGAAGCCCAATAGTGTGGCCCAACGGATTGAGATGAATTGGAAACGAGGGAGTGGAATCCAGCTGGGAAACACTAGGGGCAATTGAAGCGGTGAGAGGAACACGTGGCTGAACGCATGCAGGGATAAGTGGGTTGGGAGTTGCACGTGGCTCGATGCATGCTTTGGTCGGTGGAAAGCTGTCTTGGGAAGGCTTTGCATTGATGGCTTTGGAAGCAGTTTCGTTCACAAGTGTCTTCTGATAGTTTCTCTCCTCATTTGCTCTCTCACTCTGAAAATTGTTCCACGCCTCACTTTGTCTTTCCGTCTTAACAGTTTCTTCCTCCATGCGTTCACCTTTCTTTCTAACATAAGCTATCCTTGTCTCAGAGTCATGGTGTGAAGAGGTTTCTGATTCGGTGGAGCGTTGGTTGTCAGCAGGAGGTGTTTCAGACGATGATGCATGTGGCAGATCTGGGTCCCTGGAGGTGTCGTCGTCAACAGGAAGTGGATGAAGCTGTAAGTTGGGATTTCTGCCATGGAACGGACGAAGTTGGGATACATGGAAGACGGGGTGGATGCGAGATGTGTCTGGAAGGTCCAGGTGGTAGGCAACACTTCCGATACGGTCAAGAACCTTGAAGGGTCCGAAGAATCGTTGAGAAAGTTTAATAGAGGCGCGTTGCTGCACAGAGTTCTGTCGGTATGGTTGAAGGCGAAGGAGGACCCACTCTCCTTCTGCATAG